TACTTAGCAGTTAAATTATTTTCAGGTGTAACTTAATGTACTTTCAAGTTCCCCGAGAACCCTCAATTATACTTTCAAATAATTCGAACCCCGAACATTCGCTACATCAAACCATTTTATCTGTTCCCGTAGTTATTATTCTTCCAATAACTCGAACTTCAGGAGATAAATTAAAACAAATTCTTAGTCAATTTTTTTTTTTAATTAATTTAGACTTTTTTCCCTCAAGCACAGCCAAGTTTCCCATCAAAATTTGAAGAAATTTATCTAAACCGCGATGAAAGCCTTGTATTGCAATATAAACAATATTAACAGTTTTGATATTAGAGTATTTTGTAGTATAAGTTATGATAACATGCGTTGTAATATTATGATTATAGTCGTTTATTGTGTTTACATTTTACAATAGTTACTGTTGCTGTAAAAAGAAAAATTAACACAAAATTAATCTGAGAAAAGCACGCTGCTTTAAGGGAAATTAGAGAAGGATTTTTTAAATCTTAGGTTGTTATGAAACATTTAGTTGCAAAAAATACGCTATCAACATGAATCAAAATAAGAAAAAAAATTTCGAAGACGTTTTCGAAGATCTATGAAGACGCAAGAGAACAAATCAAAACGTATGCGAATTAAAGAAAAAATGTCTTCAAATTTAGATAATCTCGTTTTTAAATGGCTTTTAAATGTAAGGAGTAGAAACGTAGCAATCTCAGCATCAATACTAAAAATAAAAGCGAGAGAACTTGCTAAAAAGATTACCATCAAAAGATTTCAAGCGTCTGATGGTTGGCTTGCTTGTTGGAAAAACAGATATGTTTCTCTCAAGACTGTATCTGAGGAGGTCAACTCTTTTACACCTGATATGATCCCGTCATGGAAGGAAAAAAATCTCCCTACATTTATCCAGGTATAAACTTGATGAAATTTATAATGCATATGGACTTGGATTATTTTTCCAAATGCTACATAATAAGTCTTTAAATCTTCGTCATACTGGATGGCCGCAGCAAATGCTGTGGGTGATAAAATTCCTATGTTTGTAATAGGTGAATCAAAATCATCTCGCTGCTTCAAGGGAATTAAGCACTTACCTTGCAGATACAGAAATAAAAATAAAAACTAAATGAATAGCGTACTGTTCAAAGAGTGAATACGGGAAAAGAATACAAAGTTTACAAAAGAAAAAAAGAAATGATCGCTTTTTTTTTTTGTAAACTTTGAGTTTATCTGATTTCGAAGCTCTTTAAATGGGTCGAGACAACGACCCGTTTAAAGAGCTTCGTAATCAGATAGAAAAACTTGATAATTTTTAATCTCCAGGTACAATAGCTAAAGATGTCATTTTTGCAGATAAAAAATTAATGAACACATTACCTTTATTATGGACAGTTGATAGAAGAAGTGATGCAGCAAAAAATTATGATGCTGATGACGAGGAAGATAATGGTGATAAAAGTTACTAATATTTGGGAAGCACTACAAGTTTTTTATGACTTCAGCCTGAAAGTCATACAAAAATTTTTTGTTGAAAATCTTCATACTATAGTGGTGAAGATCTTCATACCAGTGGTAAAAATTTTTATATCAGTGGTGAAAATTTTCATACTAGTGGTGAAGATCTTCATACCAGTGGTGAAGATTTTTATATTAGTGGTGAAAATTTTCATACTAGTGGTGAAGATCTTCATACCAGTGGTGAAGATTTTTATATTAGTGGTGAAAATTTTCATACTAGTGGTGAAGATTTTCATATTAGTGGTGAAGATCTTCATACTAGTGCTTCATACTGAGTTTTTATTTAGGGCAATTCGTTTTCAATCAATAATTATTGTTGATGTGTATATACAGTTTATTGTGTAATTGTCAATGTGTTTATACAACTTTTAATAATAATTTTTAGGGGTTGTAATGGCATAAATTAACAAAAGAATTTCTGAAGAAATAGGCTCTTATAAAAAAACTTAAACATGAGCAAAAAAAGTTGATAAACCTACTCGAACGGCAACCCGTAGATCATATAGGGATGAAGATATAAAATCTGCACTCACTGATGTTCAGAGGTAACTAGTTACATTTATAGTGTCACTTAAAATAAAAATGTATGTATTTTTTTTATTTTATTGTTTTATTTTTCTTCATTTTTTTAGCGGTCACAGAAATAAACTGGAGACTGCAAACCATTATGGTATACCAAGAACTACCTATACTACGGATAAACTCAGAAAGGCTCCAATCGTCAAAAAAACATGAGCCAGCAAATTTTCAATCTGAAGCTCAGGAACACGTGCATATTATTACCGCTTAACGAGAACACATCTGCAGAGACACTGTTCTATCTCTTGTATCTAGTCTTTTAATTAGCTAAAATAGAATCTGCTAACGTTTAATTGACTATGTATGAAAAGTCTAATTTAATGCGCTTAGTTATAACAATTACAATTTGTTCTCTTTGGCAGTTTATTGGTATAAAATTTAATCCGGTGGGAAATGAGCTAGCAAATAGCTAGCAAATAGCTAGCAAATAGCTAACAAATAGCTAGCAAATAGCTAGCAAATAGCTAGCAAATAGCTAGCAACTAGCTAGCAAACAGCTAGCAAATAGCTAGCAACTAGCTAGCAAATAGTTAGCAACTAGCTAGCAAATAGCTAGCAACTAGCTAGCAAATAGCTAGCAACTAGCTAGCAAATAGCTAGCAACTAGCTTGTAATATATAATAAGTTAATATACTGGTGTATGTTTATATAGTATTTTACGTTTAGCCTGTTGTGACATGTTTAATAATATAGGCTATAGTATCTAAAGTAAGTTATTACTTTAAAATGTAAACAAATACAAATTGGTAGTTATATAAGCTAAAAATATAATTTTTTTACCTAGTTTTAAAAGTAGGCTAGATTATTAATTTCATCATTTTTTTTATTTATTTATTTTTTCATTATTCTTCTTCTGATGATTCAACAATAAACACGATGTCTCCTTTGACTGTGGTAGGTTTCAAACAAAAGAGGTCCAGTATTAGATCTGCCATAATCAACCAAGGTGGTTTTATTTGGCCAAAAAAGCTGTATGTTTGTCATTGGCATTGTTTAATTTTGTTTTACTATGGTTACTGTATTATTTTGAACTTAGTAATATGTGTGGTTATTAAAATACATTTTTTTAATCAAATAATATGTACCTCAAATTAACACAAAAGTAATTATTGTACTATTCTATACTGTTCTTAGCTAAAGTTTGCACTGTTGTGCAAGAGCTTCAATTAGCTTCTGTTGTGACACTAGACCAAGTTGTATCAAATCGGGCGGAAGTAAAAGAGAAAAAGAAACAGCAAAAGCAAGAAAAAGTGAAGAAAATGAACAAGCATTTGGCAACTGAGATGGCGAAGAAATCCAAACCTCCAGTCAAAATGAAAGTGGTGTATGCTAAGTAACTTCCCAATACAAACAAAAGAAGAAAGTTCAAAGCATCATCTGATTCAGCTAAGAACATATTAAAAGACATATTAAAATGTTTTTTGTTTAATTAAAAAGTTTTGTTACTAGCCAAGCCAGATTTTGACTATTTTGATAAATTAGTTTGTTTTTAATTGATTGGACAAGTTTTCATTGTTCATAAGTTTACATTGATAATATGTAACATCAATCATGCGGTTGTTCTTATTTATGGATCTCACTATGCTAGATTTGAATGTTTTTTTTTAAATAAAGTAAAGCTTTAATAAAAAATCAAGATAACTTAAAAAAAAAAAATTTTTTTTAAAAAATGTTATTATCACAACCCGCAAAGTTTATTAATGATTTTACTCTCTTAATATAAATATATGTATTTATCTTTTTTATTATTATTATTATTATCTTATTTTATTTTATTACAAGTATATAATCTATTTTTGTTTTTGTTTTTTTGTTTTTTTTGCATCTGCAGCTGCATTCTTTTTCTTTTTGCAACTGCAGATAATGTAAGCATTTTAGCAATTACGCCAATATAATACAATATTTATATATCACGATTTTATAAAAAATGGGGCTTGGTGATAAGACAGAATTATGTCTTCTTCTTGTTCCAGCCATTACTTATTTTTTTGTATATTTATGAAAATTGTATTTATTGTAGAAGGCGAAATAAATATATATTTATTTCGCCGTCGCCATTTGATTATTTCGATTGGTGAAAGCTTTTGAACATTTTTATGTCGATTAGGTGATTTTATGGTTTTATCAGTTTCTATTTAATAATTTTTATTAAAATGTTGTTTTAAATTTATTTGTCCCACTTCTACTCACACTTGTCCTATTTTTCACGGTTTCTCTAAATGCAAAAATCTATATACAGTTATAATTGACTGGAAACCTAAGGGGATTGAATCGGTGCCTAAAAAGAAAGTTTATTCGTAAAAACTTGTTTGGTTCAGTTTATACACCAAAAAAAAAAAGACATTGCATATACCCTAAAAAAAAGTTAACGTGTCCACTTAATATAAATATATATATATATATATATATATATATATATATATATATATATATATATATATATATATATATATATATATATATATATATATATATATATATACGCAAGTGTATATATATGAATGAAGAAAATATTTTTATATTATTATGTAAAATATTCTATAATCTGAGTTTCATGAGTTACCACAATCTTCAGGCAAGTGTATGGTATTTCATTACGTCATCTGGCTATTTGCCTTACTGACGCCCTCGTATGTATGCAAGGTAACGTAAAATAAAAAAAATAAAAATAAAAAACGATTTACAAATATGTCCTTTATGGACTAACCCAAAAACTTTCACATATATGAAAAAGAAAATAAAGAGTGAAAGAAAAACAAAAATACCTTTTTATCGGAACTATTTTAAATAGTTCCGCGTTTTAGCAATTAGTTTTAAAAATTATTCTGTCATTAATTATTTTTAATTTTATGGGTCATACTCGTTTGTTTATAAAAAATTCATAAAGCTTTTTTTTTATATAAAATAAATAAATAAGACTGTTTTACAAAGAAATCTTTTAGACCAACACTGTTTTTTCGATTATTTTTGCCATTTTGGTTTTGGAATCCCGTTTCGTCCTTCACTTATTTTTTCTTTTTGTTTTTGTTTAACTGGTGTTTACGGGTGTATTCTTTTTTGATCGTTCGCTTGCTCGATCGCCACATCGTCCTCGTCGTTGTTGTCGTTGTTGTCAAAATTATGGTAGCTCGATATTTCCCCATCTTTAACGTCGTTTTTCTCAATTAAAACGTCTTTTTCTGTCTCCTTTCTCTGACTCTTTTTTAATTTATATATCCTAAACGGATCCTCAACTATAATAAGATTTTTAATTGAATGCAAACTTTTTAGTTTTTCTTTTTCCAAACGCCTTTCTTCGTCAAAGGCGCTTTCGTTTTCGTGTTTTATATTTTATTTTATTTTTTTACGTCTTCCGGTAAACTCAAGTTAAGTTGATGTTCTAAATTAGTAATAGAACTATTTTTATTTAAGGAATAAATAGAATATTTTACCTCTCGTCTTGGTGTTATCATAAATGATGTTGGCTTTTGTAATGGTGAAGTAAAAACAAATACGGGTGCTTTGCCTTTATTATCAATGAAACTCTGACCAAACCTAAAATCAATTGGTTTTTCGACTGTTGTTATATTTTTTATATTATTGTTGTTAGTTGGTGAAACATATACCAAGAGATGTATGAACACATGCATCTCTTGGTATATGTTTGCTTTAGCAGTTATTACAAAAAAATTCTTTTCCAGCAAAGCTTAGAATAATTCTCATACCATTGATTTCGATATTATGAGGTAAAAATTTTACCATTGTGTTGAGCTTCACTTTAAACAGTCTCCAACCATCTTTGATAGTTCGATCAAAGTCATAAGTTGGATGTTTGATTGAGTAAATTGTATTAGTGTAAGGAACAAGTTTATCGTAAAGTTGAACATCAGTGACTGTAGGATTGCACTTAATTGTTATTAAAAAAAACCTTGTTCTTCTATTCGCTTGAAAAGAACGGGTTCTTCGCATTCATTGATTTCATTCTGCTCCATCGAAAGGTTAGTAGCGTCATTGATTGATTTAAAAACTGCCATCCACCTACCATCTCTGTGGTAAGTAATATTTTCAATTTTGCTTTTATATATATATGTGTATATATATATATATGTGTATATATATATATATATATATATATATATATATATATATATATATATATATATATATATATATATATATATATATATATATATATATATATATATATATATATATATATATATATCTTATCTACTCTACCGTGACGTCTCTATATATAATATATATGATTTAACATATCCATAAACAAAAATCTAGAGAAACAATGCAGCAAAAATCGCTTAATAATTAAAGAACAAAAAAAAAGATATAAAGAAACCGATTTGTTTCGGTCATGTGACTTTTATATATTTGTTAATTTTTCAGTATCAACTTTAAAAACCACAAATCAGTTTCAATCTCACGTTTTTAAATTAGTTTTTTTTTTTGTTATCATTTTAAAACATTACGTAAAAAGAATATTATTAACAAACATTTCCTTCCTGCTAGTTTCCTGCTAAAATTTCCTTCCTGCTAATTTTTCATGACTCTTACTTCTCTTTAACGATATTTTAACGATATTTTAACGTAGTTTTTCATGCGTTATGAACTTTAGAGACTTTTTAAAGATTTTTTGTCTGAATATATAAATATCAAATAGTTTAAAAGTAATGATAAATTCGTTTTGCATTTCCAAAGCCATTATTTTTTTACTCATTGTTAAGTGATATTTTTTATAGATCTTTTTTGATTAAATAAATTAACGCAATCGAGTTTCGTTCCAAAACTGGAACTAAAACTGAAGGTGTTATACTCAAATAAAAATCGGAGCAACCTTGCATAAAACGAAACTTTGAAAAAAAAAATCAGTTTTAATAAAATTAATAATGATTTTTTCAAAAAACTTCTGTGGTAAAATGATAGTTGCATTCTTTATAAAAATTAAATAAAATTCTCTATTGGAAAATTGTTTAGAAAACCATGGTGACTGGGTGTTTACAAAAACATAAAAGATTGGTATGGCTGAAATGTAATAAAGTTTTTATTTTTGAATTTTAAATATTAAACATTTTTTACCTTAAAATATTTTAAGGTAACCTTATTTAATTTAAAATATTTCTGCAAACCGATTTATATATATATATATATATATATATATATATATATATATATATATATATATATATATATATATATATATATATATATATATATATATATAATATGCATTCCTAGAATATAGCTTTCTATAATATATTATCAAATATATATGCTGACAATACAAATTTATTTTATAATCATACCGATGTAAAGAGATTGTTCGAAACAATAAAGTTTAAACTTGGGGTTTAAAGTAAATAAATAATCTTTGAATTGTGAAAAAACTAGCTTTACTCTCTCCCATAAAATTCCATAATAGTCGCCAAAACTGTTTATCCGTAAAAATAATATAAATTAAAAATGACATATGAGATATTTATGAGGTTTATTTGGTGAGAATCTGTTATGGAGAAACTATATCGGTTTCTTTAAAATAAAAATGTTCTTTTTAAGCATAATTTATAAGCCAATAACCTTTCTTGATTATAAAATGCGAAAACAGCTTTACTTCAGTAAAATTCTTCATTAAAACAACTTTAGTGGATTGTTTATAAACCATATTCATAAATTTTTGTGTTATTTAATCCGACTTGCTTTAGTAATATTTTTTTCAAGATAGTGTAACTCTAAAAATCCTGGGTGTTAAAACTGTATCTCTGAGCACTCGTAACTCTAGAGTAGTTTCGTCCAATGTCTATTCCAATGTCCACTAAAAAAAGAGAAATTAGTCCAATGTCTGTTCATCTGTTCACTGAACATTAATTAGAGAAAAAAATTTCTACGATAGCATTACAAGGCGAAATAAAAAACAAATGCTGACATATTTTTAATGTTTTTTTTTTTTGTTAAAACTAAGTAAATATTTCTCTAAGTTTTGATTTTAAAATATTCAATAAAGCAAATATTTTAAAATCAGTAAAGAATATTTTAAAATCAATAAAGCTTTTAAATTATTTTCTTAAATCATTTCTATTTTGTTAACTTTTTAATCATGACTTTTTTTACTGTATTCATTTGATATAAAAAAAAGTTTTGACTTTTCTGTTAGGGGGTCGCCTATTAAGTAAGTACGCTTTTATTTTGATCCTCTCCCCCGCATTTTACTGTATGCTTTTTTGAGCATTCTCCACCTCCTTAAAAGTATCTACGCTTTTAACCTACCTACCCAACATTTTGATATATATATTTTTTAATTTAATGTCTACTTTTTTTTATAAGTGACTGTCTGCTTATCTCATATACGTCATTTGCAAACCCCCTCTCCGCCATCCGAGCGTACTTTATGGACGATCCCTTATTGAAATAATTGCAACTAGTTATGATATTTTACAATGCAGATTTTTCTAAAAGTAATACCCAAATAAATACGGTTATGCTAGAAATTTTTTATTGTCAATTTCAAGATTAAAATTTGATTAACATGCTATTACATTATTTTTTATCTGTTTCAAGACATTTTTTACTCTAGTCATTGTTAAAAAATGTTACGCCGTCTTTGGCGTTTCTTTTACAAGCTTTTAACGCAGAGCATTTTGTTTCTCTCGATGCTTTTAAGTCCTTATTTCTAATAGAAGGTGCTACGAATAAAAAATCTGTAGGCTTCACTTAAGAGATCATTAAAAAATGCTACAACTGTTTTTATATAGCTTTGCGTAGAAAATATTTTACTTACCGAGTCTTTAAAAATCTCCAGGGCCGTCCCGAAGAGATTTTAATGGGGGAGGGGGTTACGAATCATTATAGTCTTTAAAAATCTTCCAACTTATTAATTGTATTAATGTATAAAAAAAAAGTTTGTATTAATATCCTCAACAAAACAAAAGCTAATGAAAGCTATTTGAATGAATAATTCAAATAAAAAATGCTATTTGAATTAATAGTTTAAACAGTAAAAATGAATAAATTTTTTATCAAAAATTTACCTCTGTAGATTTTTCGAAATTGAAGCAAGCACATTAAAATGGAACAAGAAATTTCAAAAAATTAATCCATATCAGGATACCTTTATAACCCGGTAACAACGGGATGTCCGGGATGTATTTTAAATTAAAAACTGAAATATACATCTTTTGAAGTAACAAAAAACTTTATTTTTTGCTTCGCTTAGTCAAGTCTCAGAAAAAAGAAAATTACGCAATATTTTATAGAACTCATTGAATATAAATATAATGAGTATATCTTAAATAATCATTTTTCCCTTTTCATACTTTACAGCAAATGGTAGCATCGCTTCTAATAGTCATAACCAACACATTTTAAATTTTCAATAATTATTTCTTTGCTAGGTTTCTTTTCTAGCCAAGAAATAATTATTGAAAAATTAAAATGTATACTTTAATAAATATATGTATAGTTTTCATGAAATATCTTACGAGTTATAAAACTTTATATAATTTAGTATATTTTTGTAAAAAACGACCTTTAATGGGGCTTGATAATAAGACAAACTTTTTTTTCTTGCTTCAGTCATCTGTTTTATTATTTATGTTATTTTATAAATTAAATCCTTTTACGGCAAAATTTATAAATTTTTCGAATTGTAAATCTCTTAACTATTGTATTGGTACTATAGTCTTTGTTTCACTATACAATCTGAATCTTTGCGTCATTGTTTAATAGAAACTATGCAGTTTCAGCTAATGGAATTTAACCACACACACGCAAAAAAACAACAACATGTTATCAAAGAATTAATAGGGCTTAAAGTAGGCAAGATCAAAGTATTGCCATATCTCTTCTTTTTTTTTTTTTTTTTTTTCTCCAGGTATACCATACAAAGTATACATTTATTATCGTGATAAAAAGAACAATTATATATAAAATTATTACGTATCAGATTGATAAATATACATTAATATAACTTTGATACATTAATATAGTATTGATGCAAACTTAATATAATTTCTGGTATAATAACTATTATATATATGTTTATTTTTTTCTATACTTTAATACCTAAAAAAAGGAAATCAAAGAAGATTCAGCATTTTTGGGTATAAAACTCCAAAAAAAATCTTTTCGCAGATTCCCTTAATAGCGCCGTTTGGCGTATATCCATGTCTATATAAAAAGTTAATTAAGTAAAATTAGAAATAATTTTTTGTAATTAGCTTTGTAATTACTATTTATACTGTTATATATATATACATATACATATATATATATATATATATATATATATATATATATATATATATATATATATATATATATATATATATATATATATATATATATATATATATGTATATGTATATATATATATATATACATATATATATATATATATACATATACATACATACACACACACATACACATACACACATACATACATATATATATATACATATATATATATATATATATATATATATATATATATATATATATATATATATATATATATATATATATATATATATATATATATATATATATATATATATATATATATATAGACACACACACACACACACACACACACACACACACACACACACACACACACATATATATATATATACATATACACAAACACACATACACACACACATATATATATATGTGTGTGTGTGTATGTGTGTATACACACACACATATATATGTGTGTGTGTGTATATATACATTTTATTTTATTTTTTTTTTTATTATTATTTTTTTTTTTTTTTTTTTTTTTTTTTTTTACAAAAAAAAGAATATGCAGCTTTGCTTGCCGTTTAAACGACGATATTCCATTTAAGTCTTATAATTTTTGATTTTTCAAGTTTTTCCATATTTTAGGACCCTGTGACATAGTTAAAAATTCAGAACCCCGGGTTTTAGTTTTTTTAATATAATAGTTATGGAAGCTATTTGATCGTAGATGATAACTTTGAGAAAATGATGACGAGAATATGTCTAAAAAAGAATTTGGTAGCATATTATTTTTATATTTGAACATAAAAATAAGAACCTGATATAAATTAAGTTTTTCCAAGTTTAAGACTTTCATATTTGTCATCGCATTAGAAGGATTGTTCTTTCTACCT